CTTTTATTTGTTTAAACAGTCTCGATGAAAATTACAATAATATATTTTTGTAGAGAAAATGTATTCATAATACACACAACTCTTTTTGGTTGTAGTTTTGTAAAATTAAATGCACAGAAAATTTAAATAAACAACACTTCAGGTTAACATAGCGTATGATATAATGTGTAATATATGAATAGATAGTGGAGAGAGAGAGAGAGAGAGAGAGAGAATATTCTTATTGTAACAGCAATTTTGTACCAAAACATTATTGCCTCTGAATGCCATGTTTTAGTCGTATTGTGTAATCGTTGAAAGACTTATATATTAAAAAATGTTTTCATATGATTCACAATTTTTCGTCTCAACACTAATGAAAGTTTTATTTTTCTAAAAGAATCCGTTTCTATAAAAGAATTATTAAATTCGCTATAAATAGAAGTGAAATAAGATTTTTGGTAATAATTTCATACTCTGTATTAGAAAAATACATTGTTTGGCAAATAATCGTAAATTTTTCATATATAGATGTCATAAAAAATACACTACTATTGTGTTAAAAGTTTATACTTTCACGTATTAAGCAGTGTATGAACATTACTGTAGAGAATCTGCTAGAGATACATTTTAGGACTTCAGTAAATAATCCAATTTATCAAGCTATTTACTATTATAGTAATTAAACCCAACAAATTATATGATTTTTAAAGTTACAGTTTGTGCTACATAAATAAAATATTTCATTACAATATTTGTAGATATTTAGCATTTAATCACACTTTGTGATAATTAAGATTAAATTAATTTTATTCTACTTTCTTATAACATAAACTAAATTTATAATAATCAGGATAAAATCAAGTTTATGAAAAATATATGGCGTTTATATAAAATTCTTTCAACAAATACTTTACAATCTTAATACAAAACAAATTCTTGAAAGTGTGTTCACATTTTGAGTTAAGACTTAAAAATATGTTATCAAATATTTTCTTTTATTTATGTGCTCTCGACAAAAATATTTTTAAAAAGTTTTATACTGATATATTTGCTACATTTATAATAAAATCTTTTTCATATATTTTTCCAGTAAAACGTGTATCTCTTGAAAATTGTCAAAAAGGGGTTTTATATAAATATTTGTAAATATCAATACTTTTACCAAATATAGTGAATTTAAAGCGAGTTTATTGTAAATAAATGGTTGGGCGTATTCGCCAATACTTTAAGCAGTTTTTGATGATTTATAAAGATATAAAAAATATAAATATGAAATAAACACATATTTCTGATGTATACTTATATTTTTGAAACTTTTAAAAGTATTAAAACTCTATTAAAGTATAAGTAGTTTGTAAACACAGAGAATGTCATGTACGATAAATAAATAAAATAAGATTTTACAATTAACAATTATTTCTATAGTAAATATACTTGTTAAAATATGGTATATTCTTGCTTAACTTACAAATATCAAATGTTATGCCATTACTTAAGTATTTTATAAGATTTATGTATAAAACAAGCTTATATATTTATAAATATAAATTATTTATTCACAATGTGTAATATAAAATTTTAGTATTTCTATTTTATATAATATAAGGCATTCCCATTATTGTCCACTATATCCTTTTATAACCTGATCCCAAGTATATTCAATTTACAGTAAAAAAGTATTTGATGTCAATCTGGTTAGTAGTCATACACGGAGTGTCACAAAGTTATTGAAAATTTCGATATCAAATCTCCGTTTTCTAAGAAAAATTTCTATTTATAAATACTTTTATGTATTGGCTATGAAAATATCGGAATCTCATAGGAGTTCCCTCCAATAGATATGAATGCTTTCAATGTCCCAGTGATTTATTATACAACTTATTGTAAGGACTCTTATGTTTCTCATTAGAGGCTATTTCTATGATGTTATGTCCGACGTATG